AATAGCGACACTTTGATTTAACTTCATTCCTCTTTTTAAGGGGGTAGATATTTAATCATCCCTTTTATATTTATCAACATCCTTCTCAAGTGAGGAAGACTTTCAGCATTTCAGATCAGAGAATATACCAGCCCAAGCAGAAGATGGATGAAGCTCTTGCTTCATTATTGAAGAGAATTGCCTAACTCCAACCTTTTCCATCCTTGTCTTTTATAGATCTTCTGGCCATGTTAACCCAACTTAACAAAGCCTTGAATTTCAAACCAATTCATTTAAGCTGCATGGATCTGTCTTCTCCATTCAGTTATGGAAATTCAGTAGACCACGAACAAAAATAAAAATATGTACTGAGGCAGGTCTTGAAGCTTTAACTGCCCCTGTTTCAAAAACGTTTCCATATCAAGTCAATAAAACTCTGCTTAAATTACAACATTGACTGAGATCCTATAGAAGATAGTAACTTCTTGTTAACGCTATCTGCTGAATTCATGTTCTTTCTTTTTGCAGAGTTTTACATGCAATTCCCTCAAATGAAGCAATTGATACTGTTGAGGTTACCTTATATATTTTCTTCATGCTTATGATTTAGCCTATTCTTTGTCTTTGATTTCCTTATGCATATCTATATGATTATACACACAAGGAAATAAAATATCCTGGCCTTTACTAGATGCAGAATTCATCATATAATAATAGCAAATCATTTATTTCATCTGGTGGCTAATTATACAGAAAATAGTTGTGGAAATTCAATTTGGCAATTTGTACTATTATTGAGGGATTTGCAGGGTTTACATTTTCACAAGCACGCCTTGAATTTTTTCTGCTATTTATTAGAGTGAAAATCACTAGATGCCCTCTACTTTAGGTTTTTTGGTCATATAGACCCCTCTACCCAATTTAGATTTACAACAATCCTTATACTAACAATTCTGGTAAGTTTTAACCACTATATTCACTCCTGGTGTAATTGTCCGTCATGTTGACCAATAGGCACAGTTGACTTAGATCAAAAGTGTAAGCAACGACACTTATATGGCCGTGTAATTGTCCGCAAAATGTAGATTTTTTATTTATTGTAACAAGCAAGCCTTAATTGAAGGCAGATTAAAAGGTGTCAGAATCTTGGACTAAAACGAAAACTTTGGGGGTGCCATGCCTCCTCTGGGTATAAAACCATTCCTCCCCTGGTTAGCATGATGGTAGTAGCTATGTCTGTTTCTACTTGTCTAAGTGTTGTTTCAGATCTTTGATTTTGCCCAACTCTCATGGTTGTTGAACAGGTTCTCCAGTCAAGAACAAATCCAACTTTTGTATCCTGGAAAGGCGGAGCAGTAAGTCAACCTCTCACGAACTTGTATTTCTTGTTTCTCCTTTTTGCTTGTGGTTGGTTTTCTGTTTGGTCAAGTTTGAATGCACCAATTTTAGTTCCTCATGTCATTTGTACAAAATTGTTATTCCAAGATCCTTGGAGTTCTTGATTTTGGTCGCGATGCATGGATTTACCGGGAGGATTGGATTCACAATGGGATCCATTTTCGAAGTGGCAGAAAATACAAGGACTCTTACTATGTTCAGGCACAAGCAACATGTTATATAAACTCTTAGAAGGTGGCAGTAAGTACGCTCTGATTTATCATTAGAACTACTGTAAAACAGATTCTAATATGGTGATAGCGTTTAAATTTTCAGAGCTCAGACTGTTGAGTTCATTTGGGGGAAGCTGAAATGATAATTAGGAAGGCCTTTTCCTTTTCCTTTTTTTTTTAATTTCTTTCCTTTTTGCATGTCATCTAGTGAATTCGGATAGCGTTTACATTTCATTTCCATGTTAGAGACTGAGCTTGGGTGGTTTGACACTTCTATCTCTTGTCCTTAGCATGTGCTTGGTGCGAAGCATGAAATTTGTCAAGTTCACCGATTTTAGTTGCTAAAACACCATTTGCAGAGTGAGACTGCGTTTCTTTTTTATATTATTTTCTCTATTGGTTTACCTAACTGCATAGCAGTTTTAGACTGGGATTATGGAGGTTTTATGGCAAATGAATGTGTATTTGGTGAGCTAGGAATATCTCCTTTTCCAGTCTATGATCCTGTTAAAGTTCTAACATTGTTTTCGGGCCTATTATATTGGGCCAATGGGCTAGAATTCATTGGTAAGGTTTTTTTTTTTTGTTGGTAGATAAGGGTTTTTTAAAGGATGGAAGTAACAATGGGAGGTGAGGTAGTGTTGTGTATTAGCAATACTAAGCAGGAAACAAGTTCTATGGTGGGAGGTATGGGAGAAAGAAGAGGCGATTTTAATTAGAATGGATAATGTGGTAGGAACAGTCAGACAAAGTGAGGTTAAAAAATAACATTACAGAACAACGAAAAAAAAAAAAGTGTCCTTGTTATTTGAGAACGTGTGTTTCTTTGTCAGAATAAAAAAGAAAAAGAAAAGAAAAGCAAAAAAAGTACTGTATAGGATCTAACAATTTCTTCCTAGGCCACGTGTAATCTTGGAATCACGTTGTCAGTATAGGATCTTTCAACTAGAACATGCCCGCCACATCAATTAACCTGCAAGGTACAGTCATTAGAAGTGGCAATGGCAGGAAATAACACGATCCAAATAATTAATTAGAGAGGAGAACAGAGTCTCACGGTTGATCCTTATCACCTTTAACTAGGTTACATGCTTTCGCTACAGTGTGAGTTTGGATAAAATAATGGAAGATAACAAAAATATTCAAGCATTAGCAGATTGTTTGATATTGTTATTAAATTTAATTTCGTGAATTACTCTTGAAATCTTTATATTTAATTTTTTATTCAACCCGAGTTTAAAATAAACTACATAGGAATTTCCTTATAAAAAAACATTAGGATGAAATTAATAAAATAAAATACTTTTATACCCAATTACTTGCATAATCTTAGTTCAAATTTAAATTATATTGGAATTAGCTAAATATAACTTAATTCACTTTACATGTCCAAAAACAATATGAATAGCTGTTAAAAATTCATAGAATAAAAAAAAAAAGATGAATCAAGAAAATAAAGGAATAAAAAGGAGGAGCATCTACTTTATATAAACAATAATGTAGGTGCATTGCACCTGGTTGTTTTAGTATGGAGTTATAATATGGAGAAGAGTAAAATTTGTTTACATTAGTATATTATACTATGCAGTGGGTTAATATTAATTTAATTTTTTTAAAAAGTATAGAGAATGTTTTAAGAGTATGGAGTTTGAGAATTTTGCCAGAACTAGATAAATTGAGTTTGATAATCATATTAGACCTAAACATTTTGGATAGCTTTGTTTAGGTGTGTTTGGGCTTTAGTCTAAGCCTATTTAGTTTTCTTTTATAAATTTCATATATGGACTAGGTGTAATGCTTATTAGAATATTAGCCGATGATAATTAAAGTATTAAAATTTATAATTTTTTTATTTTTTATAAAAAAAATACATTTAAATTATTTTTAAAGTATTATGAACAAAAATTCAAGTTCAAAAATTATTTATAAACAACAAATCATAACAAAAATTTAATTTAATGTTTTAGATCTAAAAATTCAAATCATATCTTTCTATTGAAATAATTTATTTTTTATATTTATGAATTTATTATTTCTTCATTATAAATTATATCTTTTCTTTTTTATTCTCTCTTCTTTTTTTATTAATGTTTATTTTTATATATTTTTTAATCAAACTTCATGCAAAAAAATTTTATTTAATGAGTGATCGTTTGTGATTTTTCACCAACGATAATATTATTTTATATTTTTTTAATAATACTGGACTATATATATTTTGTTTCATTATATAATTTTTTATATTTTTTTTACTTTTCATCGTGTTTGTCTGAACCTTTTATGTTGCAAATGAGGTTTTTTTTAAAGATATTAATGATTTATATTTAAAATATTAGATCTAATTTACTTGGGTTTGGTAACCATACCAGACACATATTACTTGGATGTAACACTTAAGTAATTTAGATTTGACATGTTTGTTAGATCCATGTAAATATGAGTTCTAAATGACTTTTTAAATTTAAAAATAATAAAAAAATATTGAAATATCAAAATGTCCCATAATTATAAAAAAGTTACACAAAAACAGTGTAAAAGAATAAAAATATTCTCTTGTGCAAAGCTTTTTTAATTTTTTACTTCTTATTTTTTACAGGGTTAAAGATGTATTTTAACTATTTAATAGTAAGTGAAAGGTATTTTAAAAAACTCTAAAGCAATATATTTAAAGTTTGTTAATTTTAGAAGTAAAATAATATTTTTATTGTATAAATAAACATTAAAAAACTATTATATCCTCACTCAAATGTTTAATGACTAACAAACTTATAAAAAAATACTTGAAAATGCTTTAATTTTTTCAACTAAATGAGCAAATGAATTATATATGAAAAGACAACTTTAGTCCATTCCAAGCCTATGCCCAAACAACAAAAAGAAAGTTTAAAAAATTAGTTATAACTTATTTCCTTATTCTCTTGTTGAATAAAACCACACAATTAATCATTGAAATTTTAAAATATAAATTTAGTTTCATTTTTGTTCTATTATTTTTATTTTTAGCCTAGACACCTGCAATCACATCCGTTCCAGAACCGTGCGCCCTTTTTTTTTTTTTTGGTTCAATGCTATGCTAGACGCAAAAAGCTTGAAGGTTCTGTTTGAAATGCAACGCAGCTAATTCAGCAATAAAAAGCACTTAAAGCAGTTAAATAGCCTATCTGAAATCAGTCAGCAAAACATAATAATTGGTTATCAAATCCTGATTCATGATAGCAAGGCCTTTTTCTACAATCGTGTCACAGGAATTTCAAAATGTTTTTCTGAAATAATATTTTTTATTTTTAATATTAACTTATAATAATAATAATATATAAATAAAAAATAAAAAAAACTAATTTTTTTAAAAAATCACTTTTAAAATTCAAAAACAAATTAAAACTCATAATTTCACATATTATTATTAAAAATAAATTTTTTTAAATACATATTATTCCAGAAAATACTAAATCACACTCCCAGCAAATACTAAAATGGGTACACGAATCATCGTCTATCTTTAAGACACAATAATAAAGTCTTTTCGTTTTCCTTAGAGTTTTGCAATTACTTTTGCATCACCCAATCCAAGCACGACACATAGCTCAGGATACAGACTCTTCCTTATCTCCTTGTAAACCTCGCCATTCCACTTCCTCGATGCCAACTGAATTCCATGGCGCATTGTAGCCCCACTCAACCTCTCCTCGTTATCGTGGGCCCCCTCCACGATCCCCATCCTCACCGCGGCGTCTCCCCTAACCTTTGCTCCTCTCAACAGCACATCGCGTCGAGCAGAAGGCGATCCGATCTTAGCCCTAAAAAGGGCATTGACATAATCAGGTATCGTTAGCCCGATGTCAACCTCGCTCATGTATAGCACACCTCTATCCCTCTTCATGTAGACGTAGTCATGGCTCAGAGCCAGGATCATCCCCGCGGCGGCTGCGTGGCCGTTGACGGCGGCGATGGTTGGCATAGGGAGAGAAATCAGCTCGGCTACCACCGGCTTGAACAGTTTCACCATGTGGGTGAGGCGCTCGATGGCTTTGGGCTTGGAACCGGCGGCACGAGCCCAGGCTAGATCTAAGCCGTTGGAGAAGAACTTCCCTTGTGATGTGGTGATGAGAACCGAGCCACTAGTGGCTTGCACTTTGGCTTCGCGAAGAGCGGAAAGGATAGAGCCGATAAGAGTGGGGTTTAAACGGTGCTCATTGTCGCCGGTTAATGTTAAAACGAAGATGTTGTTGGCCGTCTTCTCTAATCTGCACATGGTGAGTGGTTAGTGATGGCTTTGTGCTCTGGTGTGTGGTGTACAGACAAAGGGGCAGGTGCTGAACATGGGTGAAAAGATTCAAGATTAATTGCCTCAGTGGTTGCCGTTGATTTTGAAATGTGAAAATGATTTTTCTTTTATTTTTTAAAAATTATTTTTAACATACTGCATTAAAATATC